TTTATTTTTATGTGGTGCTGAGGATTGAACCTGGGTCCTGCCAGTGCTAGGCGAGCACACTACCGCTGAGCCACAATCCCAGCCCAAATTTGGCATTTCTTAAAGCATAGAAAAAATATCATCACAAGGAAAAATTATTCTGAAATAGTGCTTTTTTTTTTTTTTTGGTACCAGGAATTGAACTCAGGGGCACTCAACCACTGAGCCACACCCCCAGTCCTAGTTTGTATTTTATTTAGAGACAGGGTCTTTCTGAGTTGTTCAACTCCTCATTAGGTTCTTGAGGCTGGCTTTGAATTTCTGATACTTCTGCCTCAGCCTCCCCAGCGCTGGGATTACAGGCATGCGCCATTGTGCCTGGCTGAAATAGCTTATTTTAAAAGAAATGGAGTTAATTTTTAATCAGTGAACATTATCAAAAGCATTATTCTTGTCACAATTTTTTTAAGATAATTTCTATTGTAAACCTTGGCCAGTGTTGATTTGAAGCAGTGATGCCCCACGAACAGGAAGCCACAAGAAAGAAGAGATAGAATAAAAAAATGAATAGAAAAGTCATAAAAGGTGAGGCTCATTGTATGAATCCCATGTTAATTCTAATGATAAAGGTAATTTCTATGAATAATCCAAGTAACTTATAATTTAATTATGACTCTTGGAAACCACAAATAGGCATGTTTTACTGTGTTTATGGTTATTTTATAATACCATGCTTTTGGAAAGGAAAATATATAAGCTTTAAATAATTATCAAATTTATTTTACATTCTTTAGTTGACTATGGAATTTTTTCTGCCTTTATACAATTCCAAAGTCTTTCATTTGCAACAATAAGCATGGACTCTAATTTTCCATGCAGTTTGCCACAGTGTAAAGATAAATTTTAAGTACAACATTTAACCAGGAGCAGAGCCTGAGCCGCCTTGCAGTAGTGTCTGGGGCCATTCACTGTCACGGTTCCTCTCTGCTGTCAAATCTGCTGTCTTCACGTTTTGCATTCAGTGTTCTCTTGCACAGCATCCCCAGAATACATTATTTTTATGTTTTCAATCCAAACAAAATATATATGCTTTCATACAAGTCACATGTGTGTGTTTGGCAGGCCACACATTAGAATATAATGTGCTGTTTTCTCATAGATCAGAAACCAATTCTTCCTCTTCTTCTTTAGTCAGAGTATAAGGCCACAATTGCAATCATTGCTTTAGGCTTGTGCTTTGAATCTGTATTACTCTGTTCTCTCATTGCTATGGTTTTTGCTATTGTTGTGCATGCATGAAAGCTCCTCTCCTTCTAAAGAAAAACAAATATGGGAAAGGTTTCATTAGAATGCATTTTCTGTAGGTTAAGGGGAAGCAATAACTGTAAATTAAAAAAAAAATCCCTTTGGATACTATTTTGTTCTGCCATGGTGATGTAACTTCTGCCAAAAAGGCTTTTCTTTCTGTTCCACTTCATTCTTCAGAAAATACATAAAATGTCACTTGGGAGAGACTTAACCAAGTAAACAGAGACATTTTGGATCAAAATACACTATGTGTTGCTTTTAAAGACTTAGCTAAAATTCATGATTAATTTATTTCTTGTTTTTGGTTATTAGCAATGTCCCAGGATGGCAGAAGCCACTATCACAGAGGAGCCCCACTGTAGACATTCCTGTGAGACTTGGGCCTCTGGAACATCTGGGGTAGTAGGATTATCGGTCCTATCAGCAGTCAAGCAGAAGCTTCTACCTGGAGGGAGAGAAGCTGGGGAAGGGGTGCCAGGGAGGGAGGGAGGTGTACCCCCGCATAGCAACCAGATGGCCTAGAGCTGAACACGCAGGGGAGGTCCTGCAAGGAAGGCAGCTCCAGGTGGCTGCAGCAAGACACATAGAGATCAGAATGACAACTGGAGGAGCTGATAGCATTTCTTTTAAGCTGTGATGAGGCCATTGAAGGAACTCAAAGGATGATGTCAGCATCAGCAGACTAATGGTGATGTGATCTGATAAGAGATACTTTAGCATAAAAATATCCAAAATGGATATCATTGTGCTGCAGTGAAAATGGATAATGCTTTGAAGCTGTAGATTTTTGACAAGGTGAGGTGGGGGCTTCTGTTACATGAAATTCAGAACGCTATTGTGAGTAATTTTTTTTTCCTTATGTTCTCCTGTTTTTTTAAAGACACTATTTATCTTTCAAAACAGAGAAAATAAACTAAAAAAATTAAATGTGACAATACTCCAGTAACAGTACTATTGACTCCTACTTGTAGTACTAAGAGAAACTCCTACTTGTAGTACTAAGAGAAACCTTGGAGAGAGATGCTGTGTGAGCCCATCTGCAGGTGAAGTTCTATTCAGCAGTCAAAAGAAAGCAGTCCTATTGAATACATGCCATCTCTGTCCCATTTACAAACAAGGATATTGAGTCAAAGGCCATTTGCGTCATCTGTCCAAGACCTTTTCTCCAAAATGGGGGAGAGTCAGGATGAGAACCAATATACTCAAGATCCCACCATCTTATACATTAAGCTCCTCTTTGGCCAGAAATATAATCTTTAGTAATATTGGATGGACATTGCATTTAATATTCCTATCACATCTTATTTATTTGATAATGTACAATATTAAAATATTTGCAGTAATCATGGTAGCCTGAGAATTGAGAATCTTTTTAAAATGCAGAAATAAGTACAAGAAACCAAAGTCAATAGCATTAAAATGTTTTCTCTTACATAAAAGACCTTGTGCCACAATTATTGGCAAATACTTATGCAGTCATCTTAAATAAATCACAGAGGCTGAACGTGTATATATAGGGAAAACAATTACTTAAGTGAATCCACAGAGATGTTGAATATCTCCACCTCAAGTAAGTCATCTTTGCTTGGAGAAAACTCTTTGGAATAGGAAATACTATTTTAAGTTCAAGGACTGAAGGATTAAACCAAACTCATTTTTATTTAGTTAGATGTGGAAAAAATACAGAGTTAATTGGTGGGAAAGATCGGACTGTACCAGAATCCAATTATGGAGTCTTCAAAATACTAGTGAAATAAAAGTTAATGAGACATTTTAAGGACATTAGAATTTTATGATACTGATTTGTTTTGAAAAATGGCAAGGATAAACTTAAATTTAATATGATGAATTAAATTCTCTGTGTTCATTTTGGAATTTCAACAGAAAGAAAATGTAATTAAATGTGTGTGTGTTTCCAATTATGAATTTCTTTTGTTCTTTTCTTTCTTTTTATATTGATCTTGATTTATTAATTATCAGAAAACTGTGGTCAGTTTTATTATTATGTCCTCTGAATTATAGTAAATGTGTAGGGATGGATTACTCCAGTCAGCTCTAATTCAAACATGATGAACAGATGCCATCATGTAATTACAACCATGAATCTACATTATTTCAGTAAGTACTATAATAGGGAATAAATTGGTTTGGCATCACTATAAAGTACTTATTAAAATGTGCTTTTCTTTCCTTACAAATAAAGTTAATACACATTAATTTTAATATTATAGTAATTAACTTGAGTATTATAAAGTTACTTAATTGTATAGTCTTTAGAAAATATTATGTAGACTTTTTAATGGACATAGGCTTATTTTATAAGTAAATGGCTATAATAAATCAGTTATTAAGTTATTCAGTTCTTAAACAGATGGGTCATAAGAAGATGGATTATGATCTGTAACTATATAAAAGCAAATGAAAGAAGAGTGAGAGGAATAACTATCATGCACATAAAATATCATCTATAATTATTTACACCAGAAAATTATATCTGAGAATAAAAACAACAAAAACTGGTAACCATGAAACTGTATTAATTTGAAAATTCAAGTATTAGCAATTATTTTTTAAAAATGTTACTTATTATGTTTCCAATATAGCTATATTAGACAAAGTAATAAGTACACATGTTTGTAAAATGATATGCTTTTACAAATTACTTTGTAATTTGGTATATATATGGAAATTTTATTTTTCTTCCTTTACAAAGCTTTGAAATGATTTTTTAGTGTTATCAATTCAGGGATACATCGACATTTGTGGGAGATAGTCACAACTAGCAATACACCTTGAACATATCCCCAAAATCTAGCACTAAATTGACAAATATATACCAAAAAGCAATTGAAAAAATAAACACAGTTTTATAGTGTAAATTATATGTTTTAAATTTGTATGTATTCGTGTCATCCATTAGACTGCAGAAGTTTCAACAACAAGGGCCACATCTTATTTATAATATTTTATTCTTAGAGCTTATCACAATGTTTATCATGGTAGGAAATTAGTTTTTGTATTAGGTAGATATGCTTCTGACTATAATCAACAGGAAACTCAAGGATCATAGCTTAAATCAATAAAGGTAATCCTTCTCATCTGACAAAGAAACTGGAAGTATGCATTCTAGGCTTTAAGCAGCATCTCAGTCATGAAATGTCTCTCTTCATCTGTCTTGTTCTCAATTTACATATTATGAGAGGGACTTCACCTTGCTTTTCCAAACCATATCCTAGTTCAGGTAGGAAGAAAGCAGAGCAGTGAGAGCTTTTCACATTGATGCTCTCTTCTGAGCAGAGATACCTGCCTGTCTTGAGACTAGCAAAGAGTCCCCCAGGTGGAGATCATTAGGGAAGAAGGAGACTAATCATGGTTTGTCCTCTGGAGTTTTCATAAGGATTTCTGCACACAGAGAGGAATAGAGTCTTCATTCAAATTCAAGGAATTGGGTTTAGTTAGCAGGAGCAAAGGAGACTATTGTGTAGTTTAGCAGACAACAAATATTCCAGTTTTTTAATTTTGTGATGGACAATGTTGCAATTACAAATGCATGAATTCTTCTATAATTTTGGTTATACTGGGAGAGAAAGTATGCAATATTGAAAAGATGCTTTGTTTTTCAATTTGTTTTCTCAGTATAGGGCTTGATCTAACAATGACAATGGAAATTCAAATGTGTAATTATGTCCTTTCCTAGGCCTTGAAAGACAAATATGAACCTAGATTCCATTCATCGATTAATTGAGGAAACTCAAATCTTCCAGATGCAACAGTCGTCGATCAAGCCACGCTGTGACAAGGAAGCTCCTAGCCCCTGCCCTAGGGACACCTGTGGTTCCTGCTTGCCACCTTGTGGGCTATCTTCTCCTGCAGCCTGTGATTTCAGTGCTCATCCCTTCAACACCAACAAATGGGATATTTGTGAGGAACTCCGCCGGCGCGAACTTGAGGAAGTCAAGGCCAGGGCGGCTCAGATGGAAAAGACCATGCGCTGGTGGTCAGACTGCACTGCCAACTGGAGAGAAAAATGGAGTAAAGTTCGAGCCGAGAGGAACAGTGCCAGGGAGGAAGGAAGACAACTCAGAATAAAACTAGAGATGGCCATGAAGGAGCTGAGCGCACTGAAAAAGAAGCAAAGTCTGTCACTTCAAAAGGAGGTGACAGAAGCCACAGTAACCCAGGACCTGGAGCTTCCTGGCTTTGAAGGGTCTCACCACCGGAAAGAAGAGCTTCAAACTAGTTCAGCAATGTGTGGCTCCATCGGTTTGGAGAAAAGACAACTTGTTGAGGAGGAGGACACAAAGAGTAAGGTAAGAAAAAATCCGCTCAGGAATCCAGACATCACTGCACTTTGAACGTTGTTCAGACCCCTGGGACAAAGGGACAGGAACAAACCCAGCAGTGCCTCTCCCTGGGCCAGCAGGGCCACAATCTGGGTGGGCCACACGACACTGATTTACTCTTCCACAGTTCTAGGGGCGAGAAGTCCAAGACTAAGGTGTCTGCAGGATCCTCTTCTCCTGAGGCCTCTCTCCTTGGCTTGTAGGGTCTTCTCCCTGTGTCTTCACCTCATCTCTTCTCTGTGTCCAGATTTCCTCTTCCTACAGGGACAGCATCACTAATTCCTCTCGAATGCCCCCTTTTAACTTGATCACTGCTTGAAAGACCCGATCTCCAAATACAGCCCTGCTCTGAGCTATCAGGGATGGGTATGGAGTTTTCAGGAACACGATTAATCATATTGTGACTTTACTAACATATAGCAAAAAAATGGTGCAGCATTTAAAAAATGTGAACAGAAAATATTTGGAGAGATTTCTCTCCATTCACCCTAAGTGTGTCAATAATGATACACTATTAGAGGAGATTGTTGCTTAAGGCTTTAGACTAGCCTCGCTACTTGGAAAAATATAACTTTGGGCAAATATAAAGAATACATACCATGATTCATACTTGGAATTTTCTAGAGTTGTTTGCATCTTGAGATTTATGGGAATTCTGCATAAAATAAAGTTTCTAAAAAAAATGTGTTTTAGTAGTTCATACATTCATTTATCAATAATCTCCTCCCCCTTTTTATGACCTGGTAAGTGCTTAGGGACATACTTAGGGAAATTTTAGAAACTCATGAAAGCTTGGTCCATAAAATCATATTGTTACCCCATCTATGAAATTCCACCTCTAAAAACCTGTTGGTCAACATCTTGCAGCTTTAGAATTTATCTAAAATCTTAAGTTTTTTATACTGTTTGCAATTTATGTTAGATATAGTCTAGATCCCATTGCAAATGAAGAATTTCAACAGACTGAAATAACATGATTATTTCTACTGGTTTGGTCTTCTAATTGCTTTTGCTTACCTTGACAATGCAGGCTGCTAGTACCTTTATGTACATCTTCCTAGGAATGGGAAATGTTCTCCAAATTCAATTGTGTTAATATATAAATTTGAAAATAGAGATTGGCTACAGGAATGTAGTCAATATAGTGTGCCATAAATCCACAAAAATATTTCTTTATTATTAGAAGTCACTAGACTGTGTATGAGAAAATGAAAGATTTTCTGTACACATATTATGCTGGGAAATTCTTAAATTCTTGCACTTTCATTTGGAATATCTTTGTGTCATTAGTGTTAAGAACAAATAATACATAGATGTATTTAGTCAAAGTTTTATTTTGGAAAAAATACATAAAATGCCTTATGATTGCAAGAACATAAATGTTTTCTGTTGAAGAAATTTCACTTGGTTTCTTTACTTTGACAAGTTTCACTGTTAGCTCTGGACACACAAGAAGAAAACCTGTGAACATAGAACTTAGGTGAACACTTTACTTAACCAATGATTTTTTTTCTTAGACCTTAAAAATGAAGTACAGGACTCATTTTATTGTTTTTAAAGTATTGTAAATAATTGCAATATTAATTATGAATACGATTAAGACATGGATAATACTAGGTAATTTGGTGTTCACATAGTATCTTAAAAAGAAAATACTACAAATCAAAGTATCTTTGAAATTTTAATTGCACTTAGCTTTCTTCTATTTAATTCTCATAAGTCAGGTCAAATTTAAATAATAAACAAATATCCACAACATGAGTTCAACGGAGTTTTGGAATTATTACACAGGATTTTTGGTTCAGTGTGCTGTCCTGGTAATTGATTTCCATGTTTATTAAAATGTCTTAATTTCTATGTGAGATCTGGCTAGTCAACTAAAATTAAACAAGCATGCATATTAAAACATTCAGGACCTTCCTGAAAATTCATTCTTTCTATCCCATCCTTCAAAAAATTTTTTTAAAAATCAGTTTTTTTTTTTTTTTTTTACTTTGAAACTCTCAAGGGCCTTGTGACAAAATAAGTTTTAAAAAAGAATTAATCAGTTTATAAAAAACTCTCCATCTATTCAAATTTACCCAGGTTTATTTTTAGTTGTGATTAGGAAAAGAAGACAAACTGCAAGCTAAAGCAGACCCCTGGAGAAATTGTTTTATAATAATGTTAGAATACAGAAAGAAATAAGTTTGAAGGAGAATGTGATTTTGTTGGGTCACATGATATGACCCTTAGGGAATGATAATGAAATGCAAATATAGATTTGATGTTTATCACAACATTTATTTTCCTTTGAGAATGTTTTGCTTATGAGTTTTCTCCTGAGTCTAAAATATTCAACACAATAATTGGATTATGTTTTCCTTTTCTCAGGAAGAAGGTGTGGTTCTTGATTCATTAAGATTAAATGAGGAGATGAAACCAAATCCAGATTGCACTGATTTGTTCAGGAAGGGTGGTTTTGGAAGCTGTGCCATGAAGCCTGGGCTGAGACTGCCAGCAGGGAACCTGTCCCCAGAGAATGCAGTGACTAAAGTCTCAGCCTGGCAGCTGCCTTTGGAAGACTTCCAAGAAATCCTGTGGAAGGAGAGAGAGTAAGTGCTCATCTTTGTCTCCCTGAACAGAATTCCTTCAGTCTGATAAGCTGGTCATTTGATGATGCATTTGACCTACGTGTAGACACAAGTTATAAGATCTATGCCCAGCATGTGTGAGGCCCTGGGTTCAATCCCCAGGGATTGGAGAAAAAAAAAAAAAGTGTACGATTTGAAAAGATGAGCTACATACACACACACACACACTTTTAATTTTGAAAGTAACTCATAACTTGTTAATCCTTACCATTCTTTTAAGATGACTTTTACCATTAACATGTTATCATCTCTCATTAGGCTAATGGTAATTGTATTTGGATTTTTAATGTAGACTTTCAAAATACTGTGTATTCTCTATGTTTTATAGCTTTATTAGACTTTAGTGAGTCAACAAAGATGAATAAATGTTAATATTATTAATGGACAAATCAGTTTTATGATTCATTAATCACAGAAAGGAACCCTTACATGCTGTCCAAGGTGAAATAGAGGAAGCACACTGGACTTGAGACTAGGTGACCCGGACCTCCTTCCTCCCTGGTTCTGACATGTTCTAGCCAGAGATATTGGGCTACTGTTTCCCTTAAGGACACTAGGTGGCGCTACTATGCTGCTGCTATCCTTTAATAACATATGTTCCTAATCCTGTTTGTTTTGTTTTGTTGATATTGGGGATTGAACTCAGGGGCCCTCAACCATTGAGCAATATTCCCAGCCCAATCTTGTATTTTATTAGAGACAGGGTCTCACTGAGTTGGTTAGGCCCTTATGGTTGCTGAGGCGGGCTCTGAACTGATGTCAGTCCTCCAGCCTCAGCCTCCTGAACCTCAGGGATTGCATGCGTTCGCCCAAATCCTGGTTCTTAAAGCAACGCCTCCATGTACTCTATTGATGCATCATAAGCAGGGCTGGACAGCCCATCTCATCTTTTGGCTGGGATGGCTCCAATTTGCAGGTAGCTGGAAGGCTGGGAGTGGGATGTCTGAAGTTTGGATCACTCACAGTTCTGGAGGTTGGCCTTGGTTCTCATCAGGGGTCTCTGTTGTAGCACTCACCACAGGACTGCGTGGTTTCCTCCCAGCCCAGTGATTAGATTGCATGAGAGCATCTTAAGATCACCCAGAAAATAGGTAGCATGTTAATGACGTGAAGTCAGGGAGTGTTTCTTCTGACACTTTTGGTGGAGGCAGTCTCACTGGCCCACTCAGGCTCCAGGGCGAGGGCCCCTGGCAATGGGAGGAGTGTGGATTATTTCATGATCAGGGCAGGTAGGAGGCAATCATGTGGGGGACAGCTTTATCCCGTCTTCTTCTTTATGGCACTCTTGTTAGGATTACACACAGATGGTGTCTGGGAAAGAGGCCGAAATGTGAAACACTCCGTGTGTGTGTGTGTGTGTGTGTGTGTGTGTGTGTGTTTCCTTCATGATTAGCTTAAAAGCATTAGCATAATGTGGATGGAATTTTTGATGCATTTTAAAATATACCTACCAAATCTGAAAGTAATTATTTCTCCATCTCCTTAGTCAAAAGACTCTAAATGGGTAGAGCTAGAAAAAGAATAGGGATGCACACACACCCATAGATGATAAGTATATATTATATACTTCCATATATGTCACATATTTAAATAATTATATAATATCAACTTTTATAGATGATATAAGTATGTAATATATTATATATTTGATATCTGGTTTATATTGACTCAAATAGTAATAAACATGTGCACAAGCTTTTCAAATGTACTGCAGCTGTTTATCTGCCATTCCTTCTCCATCAGCCTGAAGTGTCTCACTATTCACTCTCCATTTTTCGAGCAATACTAATTCCTTTTTGCAGATTTTTTACCTGTGCTTCACAACATTTATAGATTGTGTTAAATGTTCATCTGTGTACTAATGTATACTATATTATTCTACCATCAAGTATAAATTCCTAATAGAGGAAAAAAAAAACATTAGTAGAAAAAAGAACGCAACTGAGTACAATTTACACTTGTACACATGTTGAAAATCTCATCTGGCCCTTGAATTCTCAGTGAAATTGAAGCCTTTTAGTTTTTATTTCTTGAAGGATTTAGCTCTCTGTAGTCATATACTTCTCTCAAATCTGCCACAGTGTAATAGGAACGGTGTTCTGCATTTCTCCAGATAGAACCCTTTTCTATTCTAGGATGCCGGTTTTAATGGTATTCATATGCTACCTTTATGCGTCCAGCATGCACATACACAAAACATATTTCTGACTTCCTTGTACTGAATTGTCAATCCCCAGAGGAAGTAAACTCTCAGTTCTCAGCTACTTCAGCATGTAAACCTAGATATGCCAAAGAATGAAGAGGGTGGGGGTCTGACTCTGACTCGGCTCTGGCTCTGTCTTCCCACTGCCTCTTAGAAACAATTCCACGGGGGTCATGGGTCCTGGTGGGTGTGTCTGTCAATCAGCTTTTGCATGGAACCCACAGGAGGCAACTGCAGTCTTTATGCCACAAGAGAATGTTCCCAGGGATATAGTATTGCTAGCATTCTCTCTAATCTTATAACCCTTTCTTCCTGGAATATCAATGAGTGGGTGGTTTCAGTAAAGAAGCTATGAATATAATTTTTTCTGTGTTTCCATCTAGTCTCTTGACTAGAACACAGGAACCAGCTGCAGAAATACAGGGAATCATTTCCAGCCATGTATGTCCCTCTCTAGAACCTCTCATCAAGTCCACTAAAATTATTATATTGTTCATATTCAGAACACTGTTTAGTTTTATGAACAATTTCCCAACATATGGAAACTCCATATATATATATATATATATATATATATATATATATATATATATATATATACATATACTTAAAGATATCTCAGGTACAAAATTTGGAGTGAGGATAGGAAACCTGATGTTCTTACAGACCTAGGTGGACCTAAACATTAAGAGAGAAGAGTTTTGGCACTACCAAATCCTCTGTAAAGGAGGCCACGAGGTAAACTACTTTGATGAAATGTCTAAGCATATGAATCAGTCTTCTACTTCAACTATGCAGAGCACTCTGTCCCTTATAAATGCTTGCTTTGTGTCATTTAAGCTGAGCTTCAGTTCATCCTATTTTCGTTCCTTAATCCGTTTTTCTATATAAAAGTAGCATGCTTATATTTTGCTTTGCTTCATTAAGTGTTGAAAATTTTTGGTAATAAAATGAGATTTAAAGTACCATTGAGAAAGTGTAGTGAGTTAAAAAGCTTTAAAAAGATATATATATATATATATATATATATATATATATATATATATATATATACACACAGATATATATATATATATATGTATATATAAAATATATATAGTATATATTTAGAAAGATAAATATGACATTTCTATTTCCTACATATATGTACATCTATTACTCAACACAATGCAAAAAGTGATATATATTGAATATATTGGCTGCCAGATACAAAACTATCATCAGGAGAGTGTTCAGGCAGCAGTCAGGGAAAGCTGTAGGCAGTGGAGTCTTCTTGGACCATTTCTGTGGCATGACAGTGCACTTGTCCCTCCAAGCCTTGTTGTCTGAGTTAATGTGCTTAATTACATTTCTTATCTAATTAAATAAATTATACATGGCTTTATTGGCAACTTAAGAACACCCATTGATAAAAATATAATTATAAATAGCTGGGAATGTGATCACAAAATAACATCTATGTTGCTTGTGAAAGCATATTTGTAGTAACTTTTATTGTTAGCATTTGCCGCAGTCTGGCTGGGCACAAATGCCGCAGTCTGGCTGGGCACACAATCACGAGCCACCACACAGCTTGTAGATTCAAACAGCAACTCTTTATTCCCGAACTCACACCAGCCGTCTACCAACACGTTCTGGGGAAATCCACGTTCTCTGCCCAAATCCACCTCCACTGGGCTTCTATCTCCAAAATATACTGTCTGAATCCCGTGAGAACTCAAGGGGAACTCAGGCAGCAGGATACGCCCTATTCCCAGCAGGAATAATCTTAAACCTTAAACCTGGAACCTAAACAGGGTACGCCCTAATCCGCCTTGGTCCTTGAGCAAGGTCACCTACATTCAATGTCACTGCAACATGGGGTACGCTGGCAAGGAAATTGTCATACCTACTTGGCTAATGGCTCCCAGCAAGCATTTACATACTAACTCTAAATTTTAGACTGTCATAAAAATAAATACATTTATGTTTTTCATGCTCAATTATTTTTATTTGGCAAAAATATTTTGAAACTAATGACTTATTAGGAAATACTGATTAGACATTTTTTTCAATGCAATTTTCCAGAGTGCAAAATTATTAGTATTTATTCCCAGATATTAATGTTTCAAGACTTCACTTCCAAGAAATGTTTTGAATAGTCTTCCTGTACAAATATCTAAATTTAATCTTCAACTACTGTGAGATCATGATAGATAATAATGTATTAAAGATCAGACATAGGGGCTGGGGATGTGGCTCAAGCAGTAATGTGCTCGCCTGGCATGCGTGGGGCGCTGGGTTCAATCCTCAGCACCACATAAAATAAAATAAAGATGTTGTGTCCACTGAAAACTAAAAAAAAATAAATATTAAAAAATTTTCTCTCTCTCTCTCTTAAAAAAATATTTTAAAAATCAGACATAAATATATCACACCTTTCCATAAAAGTAATTTTAGTTAGCATTTTACCTTTTAGCACCTATACATTTCATATATATCAATCTGATTTTTAAAATTTCATAATATCAAATAAAAGATGATCTATTTTTGTTGAGTCTTATGTTTTTGATTTTGTTCTTTTAAGTAATGTGTACATGAAATATGTAATATTTTTAAAGTAGATATGGGATTTTTTTCTTTGCTTCTTATAGTTCAAGTAGCATCACCCTGGCATTCATTTCAATTGTACATTTAGCTATAGAATTAATCATTTTTGAAAATCTCTCTGAAATGGAATAAATTGATTAGGATAAAATATTAAGGACTTGTAGGGTGCCCTCTGCTGCATAAATGTGGATGTGCAATATCCTCAATGCTTGCACCAAACCACACATTTTAAAAATATAGGGCCACACTAAAAATATTCAAGCACCACATGTTCATTTAATGATTTTTTTGTGAATTACTTGCCTTCTCCTGTACATGATCAAAGTGTAATGTTTTACTTACTACAAGTACTTGACTTTTTAAGGAAACTGATATATTGGATGTTTATTTAAGATGTATACTTACAAAGAAAAATAGTACTATACTGGATGTTTATTTAAAATGCATACTTACAGAGAAAAAATAGTACTATATTTGAAATTTACTAATTTGCTTTATATAGAAAACAAGTCATTATTAATTTTAATTTACTTTGGCCTGATTATATTCTGTTTAATTCATGGATTGGCTTTGGATATTTAGTCTAGGTCTAGATATAATCTAGATGTAGTTATATCTTTATATTTTATGTGACTGAAAGTATATGTGAAATAATATAATTATTTATATTATAAATCCCCTAGCTAGTGTTTGAACCATCCTTACCTAATCAGAGAGAGTCCAGAGAGAGAAAGAGAAAGACAGAAAGAGAGAGAGAGATGATCTTCTTCAACTAGGTAAAAAACCCTGAAAGAAAAATAACTGCAATAATTTTGATAAAACTTAATATTAAGCCACAACGTGGGTCAACATTCATTCTCAGTGACGTATAACATTTTTTAATGCACATTATTTTTCCCAAAAAGTTTAACTTAATTTGAATTATTAAATTATCATTTGATTTAAATTCAATGTCAAAAGGTGACACTTGATTTCTGAATATATAGGATTTTGAATTTGTGATTTAAATATCTAGAATTTATCAATTTTTCAAGTATAATTTTCTTAACATTCTATTTTTCAAATAACAAAATTAGTTTTAGGCAAAATATCAAGGCATATTCCATTACACAAATGTAGTTAACTAAAATTTTTGATTAATTTTTTAGTAATTTTACATTTTGTCTACCATTTAAGTTTTTCAAATATTGACAATATTCCAAATTTCTATTCATTCAAACCTAATAAATCAAAATTTTAAATTTTATGATGATTATCTTGAATGTCCCAACAAAGTTTCAAGCTTACAGCTACAATTTTTAGACTATTCAACTTAAATTCAAAGTGCTAGTTAATACCTGAAAACTTTTAATATTCTAATATGCATTATCATCCCAAATTTAAAGTTTCCATGTGCCCAATAGGTATTGTATTTCCTAAAGTATTTCAATGATTTGTAGACATACTTTCTAATTCAACACAAAATAATATATTTGGTGATCTGAAAATTATTTCTGTACTTATCTTCTTCTCAATATCCCAAACACTATTTCTGTGCTTTTTTTTTTTTTCTTCTCAACATCCCAAACACAGTCACTAATTTGGACAGAAATAAATCTTGGTAAGAAGCTTGGGTGTTGGCTGGCTGGGTTTGCTCATCAGAAATTGGAGCCGAGGCTATTAATTGGAAGCATAGATATTCATAGGCACAGTTTTGAAACCTAGACTTCTACACTGAACTTTTTCATTTGGTAACTTTGTTTAATGTATTTGCTGTGATAATAAGGATTGCAAATCAAAATCCTTATAAAAATTATGGTGGATTTTTTTCAACCTGAGTCCTTTGTAGTTAAACTAAGCTGTAAATAAGTCTTTTATATCCTTGTGTGGCTTGATTCATGCAAATGCAATTATATAACTCTTTAATAGTCTCCTTATCCATTTGATTGGATTAAACTAATATATTTATAGCCTGATACTATTTGAATTATTCTTACAGCATTGCTACTAGGAAAATTCATATTTCCTACAGATAGGTAAATGATGCTCAATTTTGATTCCACATGCATTTTCTACTTTATAAATACATTTCAAGCTCTTCCTAATAGCACTTACCATTACTAAAATAAATCTGTGTGCTTATTAATTATAATTACCATAAGGCTTTAACTATCAAACACAAAAATCTCAGTGTTATATAACACTCAGAATTTATTTAGCTAGAGCTGAGCATGTGCGGTCTTCACTAGTTTTTTGCTGTTTCACATCTAATATCCTCTGTCTGAGCTTAGAGTTGAGGAATGAGGAAATCAACCCCATCATGAAACGAGGAAAAAGAAGGAGGATGTTTGAACAGAAATCTAATATCTCAGACAGGCGAGGACAGGCCAGCTGTAAAGGTCAACCTATGCTAATGACAATCACACATAAATTAATTATTTTCAGTGACTCACTCTAGTGGACATTGTGGGCAAGGAAAAAATATCAAAGGCTTAGGTGTTAAAAGACCAGATTTTATCCTACTTCTGTTTCTATTTCTACAAATGGAACATGAATCTAAATTATTTCCAGTAGTTTAAATAGAGATCACAGTGAAATTGCTTTGTTAAAACTAAATTGCAAATAATAAAAATATTTTTGATCCCCAATAAGTGACTAATTTTTAAACTTAGACGAGCTTCTTGGTGTTCTGTGTCATATCAGAGGATGCTTCATTCATATACGGTTACAAGAGGAAGATGTGTCAAAACCGCGATGAAATTAGAAACATGTATGTCCTTCTGTGGGTGGAAGTCATGGAAATGTGAGGAACTGACAGAAATGCACGGCAGCAAGCAGAAGGGCAGTGTTGGCAAAGCTGAGTTTACTTTGTTTGATCTACCTTAAAGCTAATTGCCAGAATAACAAATTCAACCAAGTTTTAGTCAATATTTATACATTTTATACATTGAAAGCACATTTTCTCTCATAATGGCCATTAACAAGTATCAAAGATTAGGAAGAAAGAAAACACAAAAATTGATACATTCCTAAAATCATTTTCAAAATATGTCTATTTCACTTTCTTTTACTTCTTACATGTTTTAGGATGCGTGTTGCTCTGGAAAAGGAGGTAGAACGCCTGGAGTCAGCTCTGTCCCTGTGGAAATGGAAGTACGAGGAGCTAAAGGCCTCCAAGCAGGCCAACGTGCAAGAGGTACGTCAAGATTCAGAGGAGAGCGGGCAGCAGGTTGCCTGTCTCGGAGTGGGTAACGCAGTGAACCCAGGGCAGAAGGCATGGCAGAGAGGAGAAGGTGGCTAAAAGATGGAAATTCCTCTAAAGAAAACTATTTGAAAGCACGTGTCAGTAGCAGACTTAGTCACACCCTGGCAAAAAGAGTCTGGTTCTGAATGGCACACTGTGCTGCAGTTTTATGTTAGTATTTCTGTTTCTTAGAACCCTCTGTTGTATATATTTGAGGTGTACATATAGACGGTGAGATGGTTCTTGATCAACATGACGGTTGGTACCCGGTACCCACTATAGACTCCTGGGAAGGGACTGCTCACGTTGTATTTCCTACCATCCATCATAAACAACTAACTGCTCATATTCTTTAATGAAGCAGTCTGAAATATCAATTTATCCCTAGTGGGTTTAGGTTCTGTTCTTGGTAGCATTATAGTTATTTATGATCAACTATTTTTTCTTTCTAAAAAATATTTTTTGTTTGTAGATGAACACAGTACCTTTATTTTATTTATTTATTTTTATGTGGTGCTGAGAATAGAGCATAGTGCCTCACACGTGCTAGGCAAGCACTCTATCACTGAGCTACAACCCCAGCCCCCCCAGTTGCCTTTTTACATTTCTTTTGCATTATTGCCTGTAGAATATTGTCATTGACCCTCTCATTTGAATGGTTTATTAATACCTAGTATTCAAAGACATGAAAAGAATGAAATCCTGCCTTTTGCAACAATGTGGGTGGAACTGGAGATCATTGTGTTAAGTGGAATAAGTCAGGCGCAGAAAGACATCCTCTGTGCAACCTCACTCCAAAGTGAACATTAGAATACAGATGTCATACAAGTTGGGAGTAGAAAGGTGGTGACCACAGGCTGGGGCCAGGGAAAAAGGAGGCCTAGTGGAGGTCAAGCAGTGTGGGGTGACTGAGATGGGACTAAGAGGTTTGGGCTTGCTGTTTCACAGTAGGGTAATTATAGCAATGGCAACGTGTTTCAAAAATCTGGAAGAAAATACTTTGAATGTTTTGCCATACAGAACTGGTAAATATTTGAGGAGATAGATATGTTCAAAATGATGTACACACTACAATGTATTCAATACACAATGTATTCATGTATTGAAACAACACACAGTGTCTCATAGATACATATACAATTTTTAAGTTTTAGGTATCAGTTAAAAATAAATTTAATAAAACAAAAAGAAAGTTGGGCACTGTGGTGCACACCTGTAATCCCAGCAACCTGGGAGGCTGAGTCAGGAGGATCACAAACTCAGAGACAGCCTCAGAACTTAGTGAGGTCCCTAAGGAACTTAGCGAGACCCTGTGTAAAAAAAAATAAAAAATAAAAATAAAATAAAATAAAAAGAGCTGGGGATGTTGCTCAGTGTTAAAGTGACTCTGGGTTCAATCCTTTACCCTACCCCCCAAAAAATTAAAAAGGAAAGTAATTGTACATATTCTGTGTTCATTGTATCAGGTTAGTGTTCGGGAAAGAAAAATGAGCAAATCAAAGGAAAGAAAATAATGAGCAAGAATACTGACAACTAAATCCTATCAAGTAGGTTAACATTTAGCAGGTGCATGTGAAATATGCAGATTATCGTATACATGCACACACACTTACACAAATATATGAACTGGTGATATTTATATATGCACAAGTACCTAACTGAACCTGGAGACTCTGGGTACAAACATTTGCAATTAATTAGTTTACTTTTACTGGAAGAATAGTTTACAATATGAAAAATCATGTTATTCTTAAATACGTGTATATGCTATATATGCTAATGGATTCTAAATTTGACTAAGAAAACTAATATGTGAGATAAAATTGGTTTGAAATCCAATTTTCAAAAAGGCCACATGCATGTACTATCTCTTGCCACTAGTGTGCAGTGCAGACTTGATAATGTCACTGAGTTTCATAAGCCTTTTTATTCAAGAAATTTAACACTAACATTGTAACTGGTTGGGGAAGAAGTCATGGTTTCGATTCGGTTTATAAAGCAATATGTATATTTTTAAATGTTTGATATTTTATATTCAAAGATGATTTTTGGTAGCAAGTCTGATAATGTTCACTCTAAACAAATCAACAAAAATATTTAGGTGAAAAAAATAAAACAAATATACAATTATAAAATATAAATTTCTTCTTTGTTTGATGTCCATACAGAATTACGTATTTATACACATGTGATGCTTTTGCAATATATAATAGTGGTAGGGTTTTCAGAATAGAAGAAAGAAGACAGAATTTTTATTATAGATGAAGAAAATTTATAAACATAAATGGTTTGTTCTATTTATACGGGATTGAAAAAAATCTCTTTCACCTCCTAACAAGTAACTCATTTTATTCTTAGAATCTTTTTGTATGAATGTTGTATGCACATTTATTTTAATTTTTATATAATGATGAAATGTTTAAAAATATTCAAAACTGAACTAATAAGAATACCTAGTCACATATAATTAATTATATGTCTTTTGTTTAATTCTTTTTAATAATGGATTACAACAGAAGAAGGATTTTATGGTATATTTTAAAATGGCATTGTCAGGTAAGTGTAAGGACAAAATATTCAAAGTCTAGATACAAGTTGATTGACATTCAGAAAAAGTGTGTCATGATGCATGAGTTGAAACTTTATATGTATTATTCTTTCTTACTCTCTGTCTCCTCAAAACTTTTGATAATTACCTTCACTTTCTAGTTTTATGGTTTTATACATAAAACTGTTCAAATATAAGAGCAGTTCTTTTGTGGATACCAGAAACAGTTTAAAAGCAAATTCATGTCTGGTTGAGGACTGCTGATGGAAAGATTAGCAATTGTTAGAGCTGGAAACAGATGTGCTTGGTCGAGCTAGATTTTTAAAAATGTATTTAAAAGTCTGGTGTGCTTTAGTGAGAAATCATTCTTAAATCACTGACATTTAGAGGAGAGAAATGGTAAGAATTTAATTGTAAAATCTAAGTAAGTATTTAAAATGCAACCAAGATAATAAGCAATAGAGGTAATTATATCCAAAATGCTGTTCCTGTGTTGAATTTAATACTTATTCAGCTCTTTCCTTGCAAGTCTATACATATTGATTTGGAATTAGATTACGAATTCTAAGTGTGCTGAAATGATCATTCCTATGAAATCTCATGGTCTAGAGGATCAAATATTCATGCAAGAAACATTGATTACAAATAACTGTGACAACTCATTTAAAGAATCAATGACTCTTATTCTTTCCATAATGGAAGAGATCCTTTGACATATATAAGAATACTGCTAACATTTTAAATCATCTCAATCTAAAAACCTGAAAGTTTACATTTTTCTTGAAAATACTGTGCTTCTACCTCTTACTCTTTTATGGATTGTATTAAATAAAATATAAAATATTGTATCATTTTGTGATCATAAAATATGTCTAATAGTTTATAATTCACAGTGATTTTCATTAAATGTTTGTGAATGATTATGTTCAGAGGCAAAGGTATCTTGCTACCCCGATGGTAACAGCCTGCATCAGAGTCTTACCTCTGACATTTCAAACACCTTTCTGATGTGGTGGTAATAGGTTAGAATTACTAGCTGCACAAGCTAAAATTTTACACTTACATTTTTTAAAGATATGTCATGGGGACGCTATTCCACACCTACCAAGAAAAGGTCCTTGAAGATTCTTATTAGAAATAAGCATCTGGAGAACTATTAGCACAGTTGTGAGAGCCAAGCTAATTTGGAAACATTGTCTCATTGCTATTCTTGTGGCTTAAGAAATAATTTCATAGAAGTGAGTGAAAACATTAATGTATCTCTTCAATTCTCCCTCCAAACTACATCTGGTACCATCCCTTTCCATTCCTGCCCCATCCCCGTCAGAGCCAGCACCATCTCTTGCTTGGTGTCTCCATCCAGGTCTCCTCACCACCATGCCTGATCTACTTGACTCCTTTTCCATCCATCAACCAAGGAGACATTTCTAAAGCTTTACATTTGTTTGAAACATTCCAAGACCTCCCTTGCACTTAAAGTAAGCGCTGTCTTCCAAGAACTTTGGGAGTCCAGGAAATGCAAATTCACCTGGCCAAACCACCTTGCAGACATTTGATGGATGCCCAGTGATGACACCACTCATTTCTACCTTAACTGCTGAGCAGTGACACAATTTTAGCTAATAGTGCCCAACAGACTTTTTTTTTTTTTTTTTAAGTAAGTACCATCCCTTTTTCTCCTCTGTTTGGAGGGCAGTCTTCTTCCACTCTGCCACTCTGTGGTCCTCTGGGTTCTCGGAGGCCACATAGCTGGATGATAGGCATCAGGATAAAGATTAGGAAAAAGGAAGGAGGTCAAGTGGGAATGATTTAGATGGGCCAGGCTTCGGAGTAGAGCACATAACTTCCCCTTCCCAACTCGAGGTGCGTTACTCAGTGGACCAGCCACACAGAATTCTATGTTGAGAAATACGTTCAAATGTTTTACTCAAAAGGAGAAAGAAAATAGATTAGATAAGCATCTAACTAGTGTCCCATTTAGGGTCAACATGTTATCTAATACAGTGATACTTATTAATATGACATCTTGTTAATAAATGCATTGGCTAAAATATTGCTTTCATTGTAATTGATAAATGATGAAGAATTCAGCTTATATTTAAGAGAACGCAGGCTTCCTAATTCTGAACCCTCACATTAAGAGCTTGCCTTACATCCATGCAGCTGTTTTTACCCCAGGGGACCCTGTCACTTCATGGCCTATGTTCTGGAGAAAGATTGCAGGGTGTGTGCTTCCCACACACATCTCTTTCCCAGAGAAATGGGTGGTGGTGGGGGTGAACAGAGCTGCACATCTCCAGTTTCCCCTTCAACTCACCAACCAGATGATCCCCCATCCACTGGGGAGGCGAGTGGAGTCTTGGGGGGCAGCTGGGCATCTACAGGGGTGATGGCCTGTGTGGTT